ACAAGAATGCCACTGTCACACTGAACACCCCTCTGAGCCCATTCAGCCTTTAAAACTTTACATGAAAACAAAAGAAAAATCGTCAAATATTCATATTGAACAGCCAAATCTGTTTGGACTGACATAATTCTGGGTTGGGTACAGTTGTAGGCTTGGTACTGGATGTTAGCTGCTGCTGCTGCTGCTGCTGCTGCTGCTGCTGTGTAGCTAAAGCTAACCAGCTAGACGTTGGGATGACAGGGGTCCAGAGATGGTTCTTCCATGCTGGGTCAAACCTGTGTTGACAGAAACACTGGCTCGTATAAAAATTATGTTTAAATAAATAGATTTGTTGGAGCTTGTATGCTGTGATGCTTCTGTGTTACAGCGCTTTGTCAGGTGTCATCTCGAAATTGGAACTTGTTATTATAAGGATTTACGTGGCCCTGCCCACAGCTGAAGCTGCGACTATTCGCTGTTGATTACCACCAAAGCTCTGAAACCCCAAAATGGACATTGTTTAAAAATAGTTAGTTTTTAAAAATAGTTTGGCAGTGTGGAATTTTTAAGCACTCTGTTAGTAACTTGACAGTTGTAGTGAGGTGAGTGACATACTCTTAAGAATATATTACAAAATGCCCCTTCCACAATCACTCAAATAACATACAGAAGCAAAATATTTATTATTTGATTCTGATATGGCTTTTTAAACCTGACAGCAGTCGATAAACATACAATATGCCGATATACCTGTGCTTCTGTAGTACAATAGTCATCATGTGTCAGAGACAAGCTAGAATATGAATAAAAGTTGATGAGGTCAGAGCAGCAGACCTCAAACTGAATTTGTCAGCTTGATCCCCTGAATTGAGAGAGGGAGGTGTAAACCTGGATTTTATTTTTATATTTAATTTAATTTATTTTATTTTTGTTAATAGAGACAGAGAGCTAATTTTCAACTGTAGTCCCTGAGCAGGAAACAGAATAATTTCTCGAGTGGTGAAATGTCTTTGAAAAAGAAACTAACTTTGACATTTCCAATGTTTTTCTGTGGCTAGTTCTTTGCATTTTAACCTTGTGATCACACAAGTTGTGACCCTGCAAAAACATAAATGTTTTACTAACTTGCAGCTGACATAATCTGTCATGTATAGATTAAAACAAGCGATTTAGGACTGAAACAAGTCGTTGTTATGGTGCTACAAAATGTCCACACCCATAGACTTTAATGGGAGAATGTACTTGTACTCCCAGTTTGCTGTAATGGAAGTAAGATGGGCTACAAAGGAAGAAATACTTATCATCATTACAGTGTTAGAGGGCACAGTTGTGTGCATGTTTGTCTCCACATAATGTGTTTTGTGGGTTGGGGGAATCACAAACCATCACAAATCACTGTTCCCGGCCTTCTCTTGCTGATTGTGTGTCTTAAGTGTGTGTTTTTGTGCTTGCATGTGTGTTTGTGTGAGTCTTCCTGGGCTCTGGCCCAGCACAGAAGCAGACCTCTGTTGGAAATGTAATTCACATGAGGCCAGAGGAGCTCTAATGCTATTACCACACACACACACATGCACAGCTGTGTTGCCGCCCACAGTCTGTGTGTGTACCTCTCAGACTCCTTTTCTCTCCCTTGTTTCCTCTGCCTCAGCCTGTCGTCGTGGTTCATAAAGATGAGCGATACAGAATGAAAGGTGAAAAACTCATTATGTCTTCAGGGTGCCTCTGTGCCGCTAGTCTAAGCTGTTTATATATATGTGTATGTGTGTGTCAGTGGTATGTTCAGTGAGTGCAGCAGCCAGCCCATCAGTTTATGAAAGTACCGAAGCCCTGAATCAAAAAGGCAACTTTCAGAAGGAAAAGAAAGCAGGAGTTGAAAGTTGAAGTGAAAGAAAGATTCATCTGTCAGTTACAGTTTTCTTTACCTGTTCTGGAAATGATCTCTGAAGTGTTGGTAACGTTGTAGATATGCATCAAGAATCACATGCAGTGTATTACAGATATACAGAAAGCAATATTGTACAAACAAAGGTTTAACTAAATGAGACTGATGTTCTCAACTATGAAACATTGTTGTTGATGTTGAACATTTTCATCACATCTTCTGTGTTTTCATGTATGTAGGATTATCTGTGTGTAATGTAATCATGTCTGTTGGTGCGTGTCTTTGCGTTTCTGTCTGTGTGTATTGTTGTAAATGTCTCCACAGTATGGGGCTGTATAAGGAACATTTAACATATGAAACTGCTTTGAATGTTAACTGTCATATTTTATGACATCATTAAAAAATCCTATTAGGGCTATATCACGGACACTGAGTATAAACGGTGATAACAGTGATTTATTTTTTATAGCTGAACTTTATTTACTTTTATTATAACAGCACTTTATTTAACTTAATTCTAACAGTACTTTAATTCACTTTATTATAACAGTACTTTATCAACCTTTACTATAACAGAATTGTATTTAACTTTAAAGTATAAAAGCCCTGTCTTTACCTTTATTATAACAGTACTTGATCGTACTTTATTATAAACAGTGCTTTTTTTTACTTTATTATAACTGTACTTTAACTTTATTACAGCAGAACTTTATGTAATTATACATAACAGAATTTTATTTACCTTTATTGTAAGTACTTTATTTAACTTTATTGTTTATTTACTTTCCTTAACTTTTTTGCAAAAGTACTTTATTTCCTAGTATTGTAACTGTAGTTTATGTACTTTTGCAGTAATTTAGTAGTCTATAGTAGCTAAGAGTAAATTTCAAAATATTGAGAAATATATCCTGTATTGTGACATAATCTTAAAATATCACAATATTATTTATAGGCCATGTTGCCCAGCCCTAAAGTGATTCCATGGATTAAATGGCATAGTCCTTTTTTTAATTAATCAATTTTTCTTTCAGTGAATAAATGTAATTCATGGTGCTGTTACTGATGCTAGGTCATGCTTGCCGGTTTAAACAGAGTGAACAGACATGCAGCACTCGAATGTTGATTTACAAATCGAGTGTCACTGTCACAACTGAAGCTTCGCAGCTTCAAACTATTGCATGGTAGTGATGTTGTGACAAAAGTGAAAAGAGAAACAAGGATAGGAAGAACAGTCTTGAGGTTTGAGAGTTCTCAGGAAGTCAGGATGTACAGTGTGCGTCCCTGTCACAGTAACACAAGGAAAGCCTGCAGTCAGTGCCAGAGAGAAGAGGTGGAACCATTTTTCACAAGCGGCTCCAGCAGCCCGAACGCCCACGCTGACTTTCTCAGAGACGGCGAGAGAGAAAGAGAGGGGAGGAGTGTGAGTGAGGCAGAAAAAGTGGAGAGATGCCTAATTTCCTAACTGTCTCAGAAAGAGAGAAGAAGTGATTGAACCAACTGAGAGAATAAAAAAAGGCACTTGAGAGCGATATCATGTGAACGCTATCAGAGTGGAGCAGCAGGAGGTTTTTTTACAGTAAAGTCTCGCTGTTCTTTTGAAGTTTCTTTAAAGTTTCACTGTGACACTTGAGGCCACAGTGAAGGCGTGAATGAGACACAGTCACACGGTAAAATTCACTGCAAGTTTCAAAAAGTCCCCTAATTTGTAGATGAGCTCCGACTCTCAGACCACTCAGTGTCTCATAGTATTTTGCTCTTTTAAATTGTATAGGTGTAGATGGTATTTGATGGCCAAAACATTTTCAGCACCCCAGCTGTGAGCAGTAGCTGAAGCCTCTTTCTTCTTGTAAAGGATGCTTGTGGAGTTGAGATGAAACCAGTGGTCTTCATTGTTAAATATGGACTCAACCCAAGGTGAACACAGTAGAAGTCTCTATAGCCCCGTTTCCTCTGAGCAGTACGGTACAGTTCAGTTCGGTGTGCTTTTTTTCCATTTCCACTGTGAAAAGTTGTGAATAGTATCAATGGAACCGTTCTGTACTGTCCCCATTTTTGGTCCCCCCTCTGTTGGGGTACCTAGCACACAGATCTGGTACTAAAAGGTGGAGCTGTGAACACTGCAGTCTGTTGATTGGTCAATAGAGGACGGTCACTCTGTTCAGGGCTAGGGTTGGTTAGGTGCGGCTGACCATGATTTGATTGACATGTACCTTGTTTTTGACGTTTGCTCAAGATATGCAAGCTGCCACATTATGATAGCATTCTACTAATGTTAGCTACAAAGCACCAGGGCTAAATGTTAGCAACATACAACATGATAACAACATAAGCTCGAAAACCAATCAGGATTTTGTTTTGGGAATGTTGCAGCCAGTTCAAGTACCTGAACTGGTCTTAGACAACCAGAGGAAAGACATTAATAGACAAATTGTCAGAAAATCTATATAGTGAAATTTGTACCGATAAACAAATTAGAGTGTGTTGTTAGTGGATTTGAGTTGAAGGACTGCAAGCTGAGCGTTAGCCAGCTGTCAGACAAGAGACACTGTAATTGTTCTCCTCCCATTAACTGAATGTGTCTTCATCAGTGTCAGCTGCTATTAGATTTGGCCACACTTAACTTAATGCACCATCATGCAAAGAGGAGCAGGAGTGTGTGTGCGGGTTAGGCTGCTGTGTTATAACAGTGGCAGTGTGATTGTTAAAGGATGAGCAATGTGTGTGTCAGAAGAGTCTAACCACTGAAACCTGTGTGTATGTGTACGCTTTGGAGCAAAAAAAAAAAAAAAAAAAACTTAATTGAAACTCAAATTGAATAGTTATCTGTGTAAAAAGACGCCACAGATTTCCATGTCTTTTATCGCTGCTTTCTGAAACTCTGTCTGCTTTGTCTACCTTTTTAGTGGTGTGACACTCACATAAAGACTGACTTCTGTTTGACTTGTATCTCAGGCTGGCCTTGCTCCGCTCTCATTTATCTCTTTCCTGTGTGCTGTCAAAGAGAAGTACTCCCTTCATGAGTTCCATTTATACTTACAGACAAATCACGTATAATCTCCGTCGGCGAGAGAGAAGGAAGGCGAGATAATTTATTACTATCTACGTACTAAACATGCTCCTGTTGTGTTGTTTATTCCAGCGGTTACGGAGGTTATCGACTAAATACCGGACGGAGAAGATCTACCCCACCAACGTAGGAGAGAGGGAAGAGAATGTCAAGAAGAACAGATATAAAGATATACTGCCATGTAAGTACCAGTACAACAACAAATTCTTGCCAGTATTTACTCAAGTCATGTGAATGGAATGGACAAAATAACCCTAAGTGCTTTCTAGAACTGTTTTATTGTAGTACTTCTGCATTAGACTGCGTTAGCTAGAATTCACACTACTAGTCGTCTTATTTCTTGTAAGCCTTTACATACACTTCCATACACGCTATCCTCTGTAATCTACCCAGCAATGTACCAATATGATCCTTCAACAGCAAACCTGGGACAAAATGTACAAATTTAGATTTAGAACAAATGTTATCAAGCAACAACCGAGCCCTCAGTGGCTGTCTGCACGTTCAGCACTGGTTACCTCACAAGCCCGCAGCTGAATCACAGTGACTTTCTAATTATTACAACACTTAGATTTGACAAAGCAGCACTGCATGGTGTAATGCTTGGATTTATTGCTAAAATCTTTTTTTTTTGTTTGGCTGTTTACTCTTTTAAATGTGGCCAATAGAAGATCTGTTTGTGTCTCGTTTATTGTCCATAGAATGAGGCTGCACGCCGACATTTTCAGAACAAAATAAAACAGGCTGCAGTGAGAGTCTCTCTCCATGGGATATTTAAAAATAAGGGGTTTGTGCATTTAGTCCTTCTCAGGCAAGCTCGGGGGTTAGTGTTGCCGTAGCCCACAGGAATGATGCTCCATGGCGTTTTGTTGTTTCCAAGTGAGAATTAGAATATATGCAGTTTGCATAATCCGGTCGAAATTAATATATATTTTTAAACGCTTGACGATTCACTCATTACGTAAAGTCTGTGTCATCCAAGAGAGACTATAGAAACTAAGGTTTGGAAAAAATACACTGTTAACTTAGCTTGGAAATCCAGACTCAAATCTAGAAAGATTTTGAGTCTGGCCCTCACCGATACACCCTTCCTACCCAAGGGGCGGCACTAACTGAGGCATATTAAATGCCGCAGCACACAATTGGATAGCATGATAGCCAATCAGAGCAAAAAAACAAGGTGACGTATTCATTGCAGTAAGCCCCATTAGTTTGCCGACCAGTGGGGCTAACTGATATATTATGCCTTTGCCGTATCCCGTTGGCAAAACGGCAAAAACGTCCTTCCTGGAAACAAAGGCTTCTAAGGCAGTCTTCTGTTCCTCTCTCAAGGAAAAAGATAAGTGTAGTTGGCTTAGCGTTTCTTCCAAAGCTAAATTGAATGGATGCAGTCCTTCGGCAGCTGCCATGTTGGCTGTTTACTTTTCGACTGCTACGGCGCAGCGCTGTTGTCATCATGTTACGCCCACCCAGAGCCCGCCTCTGTCAGATAGACTGATCTGATTGGTCCAATGGCGATTCAGCGGGCTCTGCTCGTTGGGGCCAGATCCCAGTATAGTGCAAATTCGAATTTGCTAGGGGCGGGGCATCTGGATTTCCAGGTTACCGTTAACTTGCTATTTCAGTCAATATTGTGTGGTAGGCCACATACAGTGTGTATATATATATATACAGTACAGGCCAAAAGTTTGGACACACCTTCTCATTCAATGCGTTTTCTTTATTTTCATGACTATTTACATTGTAGATTCTCACTGAAGGCATCAAAACTATGAATGAACACATGTGGAGTTATGTACTTAACAAAAAAAGGTGAAATAACTGAAAACATGTTTTATATTCTAGTTTCTTCAAAATAGCCACCCTTTGCTCTGATTACTGCTTTGCACACTCTTGGCATTCTCTCCATGAGCTTCAAGAGGTAGTCACCTGAAATGGTTT